CTGGATGCCGCCCTGTGCCACATGCTGTAGGTGTGCCTGCTTGAGCAGGAAGGTTGGACTAGATGATCTGTAGAGGTCCCTTCCAACCTTGAATATTCTGTGATTCTGTGAAAGAGCTGGGAGCAGGGGCTGCGAGAAGAAGGGAACCTTCCTGTGACTTTCTCCTGTGATGAGCAGAAGCTGCTATAGTACATAGACAGAATAGGAGGGTTTTCTGAGGTCCCCAGACTGATTTTCTTCATGTTAGCCAGACATAAAGGCAGAAAATAGGAAAAAATAGTTTTGTTTCCAGTCAGTACTAAAGTCAGGGGAAATAACTGGATGGATTAAAAACAAATGATCTGGAGACTGGCAGGAAGAGGCTTGGGTAGGTAATGGCAAAGTAGTCTTCAGTTGAGGAATTATGATTCCATGAACACTTGGAATCAAAGCTAATGCTAGGAGAGGCTGGCATAGTTTGTCGTACAGCACAATATCTAGGCCCATCGTTTGGAGTGAGCTTGAGGGCAGTTACTCGGCATCAGCGTTTTTGGGAAACTGGTGTTTTTTATTTTCCTATAACTGCTCCTTTGCCACCATTTGTGTCTTCAGTTACACGAGTGCCAATGTTCTTGAGATTGTTCTCAAACAGAGAACTCACCAGCACTGGAAAATTAGTGCTATTTTTTGTTTCTTGTTCAATCTCCGGTGGAATACAAGTCTGCAAATATTTCCCTCACAGCTGAGGGAGCTGTGAACTGCAAATGGGAAGATAAAGATGAACCAAAGAGGGCAGGGAAGGTCTTAGGTTGATGTGGGTGAGGGAAAGTGTTCTTACAGCGAAGCTTCAACACACTGTATATTTATTTATCCTGGAACTCCTTGTTTGTACATCTAGGCGTTTCAGCCCTTTCAGTGATCTGTGTAAGTGTTAAAAGGCTTCTGCATGACCAAACATGTTCTGTTGTGTTATGGGTGTTGTGTTTTATGGGCAGTTAGGCTGTAAAGTCAAGTACTCGAAAATTAGGAAATACCCGGACTGAGGCTGCCTGTGCAGAGTGCATCTGCTCCCCTGCCAGCTGTGTGTGTTGCAGCCTTCACTGCTGCTCACGAGACACGTTGTTGTTGCCCCAAAGGGCTCTGCCTCCCTCACTGCCCCCAACAGACTGCACTAAGAATCGGGTGAAGGATTTTAGCCGGATCTTTGTGTCTGCCTTGTTTAATGCATTACATCAAAAATGCTCTGTGTGTAAGAAAAGCAAATGGGGGAAGATGATGTGATTACTGGATTCTGCATTAGATGCACAGATTTTTAGTCTTGTCTCTGCCAATAGCATTAGTATGATACAGTGGGCAAAAACCATAATTACATAGTGTTTTAGTTTGCTTTATACAAGGAACTGGTCTAACCTACAACTATGAGCTATGTAGGTTGATGTTGCTCTTCAGTTGTTCTTAGTGGTGTTTCTAATTATATTGAGGGCTTTAGATCTCTGTTAGGGGGCCCTAGGGCACATGAAAATTTCAAGTTGCCTTTATTCATTTTTGGTAGGGGAGAGGAGATGCTCTGTTCCTGCCACCCAGGTTAAAGGGAGCGTGCTGGAAACAGCAGAAGTTCTTCTGTGTTCTCATGATCAGGTGTGTTCTGATAAGAGAGGCCAGAATACTTTCCCCTTCAGGATAGGAATAATTGAGATGGCTTGGGTGAAGCAGATCAAAATGAACAATTTGAAAAATTTTCTAAATACTTAACTAATATCCCCCGTAGCTGGTTGTCCTTGAAGCGTGGGTTCTGCAGCAACTTTTAGTGGGTATCTCTACAAAAATGCTTTTAGGTCAAATTCCCTTCATGGGTACCTGGCTGATCTGCGTAGAACAGGCTGTAACTTGCATCCCAAGTGGATACTGGGCAAACTCGGTGCCCCTCACACCAAGGCGTTGCTGCGGACGTGGGCCTGTGCTTATTGTCATCTTGGCAGCATCCAGGAGTAACTGGCCCACGTGCTGCCATCCACCCCACGTGTCAGCGGGTGTTCGGTCCCTAGGGAGCCGGGTCGGTTTGGCCCACACCTGAGGGTCTGCAAGAGGGGTGGGTAACCGGCTCCCCAGGCCCACAGGTTGGAGTCTCAAAATGAATACGTGCTTGAATGTTCTGCTCCTCTCCGGGTGGGCATGTGGGGAAATAGGCCCTGCAGCCCTCTGATTTAAGGGTAAACTAATGTTTTATGAAACACTCCAGTGAAGAGACAGCCCTGCTGAAGAAAGGGTGGGCTCCTGCTCTGGCCGTGCCGCGTGCCCTCGCTCSGTGTGTGCAGCTGTGGAAGTGGTAGCCCCGGCCTGTGAGTGAGCAGCGCCCCGAGACACTGCAGGCAGCACCCTTTAACTCACGTGCTCAGGAGTCCCAGCGTAGGCTTTGGTCACTGATAGCCCCATCCTCTTCGTTGTAGTATTTTCCCATCCCTCTTTATTAATTGCAGAGTTATGCCTTCTTAGTATATTGTTTTGTTAAACATTTTAGATTTGCTTGTAAGTTGTAAAGTCAGTTGTAAAACTGGGGTTGCTTTTAAGAAACAAGAGTCATTGATTTAACTACTATCATAGAGTAGTGTAAGAAACAAGAGTCATTGACTTGTTTTAACTACTATCATAGAGTAGTGTAAAATCTTACTTACGGATTGAGTTAACTAAAACGGAATTATGAAAGTGTCCTTGATGATGAAACTGGGTACTACTGATTTCTAATGTGTGTACACAGATATCTTCTGTTGTATACATTGAAATTCATTTGTTTATTTAAACTAACTTGAAACCTGACTTTCTCTTAATATTTAGTCATTGCAGTCTGAGTTACTGAGGCATCCTGCAGTGCAGAGTCGTGTGTTTTGAACCATGTGATACACAGGGATTCCAGCAGTGCAGTTTAATCTGTGCTTATTGTAATCTTGGCTGCATCCAGGAGTATCTGTTCCCCAAGTGTGAGTTGGGGGCATAGAGTGCTGTTAGCTAATGACTAGGATGGGGAGTCAGTTCACTGTTTTTTGTTTTTTTTTTTAAAAAAAGCTAGAACAGAACAGTTTGGGGATACTTTGATCAAGTTCAGGAAATTTCCAAGAAACTAGATCCTGTCAGTTGCAATATAAAGTGGCACATATTTCACAGCTCAAAGTATGTATTAAAAGCACACATTAAATATAGGCAAACATGATGACCTAATTTAGATTATAGACAGTAATCCTTACTCCTTCTCCCTCCCCCAATGTTAATATCCTTTCCATCATCCTCTTAAAAATGACAAGAAAAACCCTCTAATTTGTTTCGTCAGCAGGAGTCTGTCGGGGTTGCTTAGCCTCAAAAGTAGCTTGGCATAACTAAGCTTCGGATACCTGATTCACGAGTTTACCCACATAATTGTCAAGATAGCTCTTCATTGAGGTAAYGCTGAGAAAAAGATGATCAAATGTGAAATGACTAACTACGCTGTATTCCCTTGTGTGGAGAAATGTGCCTACATGACAGGAAGGGCTGCCCTCTGCCCACCTTGCTAGCGCCAGTTAGGCACAATAACTTTGGTGTGACATCAGCTATTTAAGGCATAGCGCAAAACAGAACCAGAAGCTGCTGCTTATCATACCTGTGGAGCTAACAATGTTGTGTTAATTCCCATTCCTCTTCTCAAAGCTTAGCCCCTTTCTTCAGCGGCACTGAGGATGTTGAGCCTGTTTATCCAGTACAGAGGGCTTAGGTTTTACCTAATGTTTACCTATTTGTTTACCTAATGCTTACCTATTTGTTTACCTAATATTTATCTAGTGTCTACTTTAGATTTAACAGCCATTTATTTAAAACAAGCTAACACCCTCTCGGTGCTTTTTCAGAAGCATCGGCGCCATGGAGGGGCTCCTGCATTACATCAACCCAGCACACGCCATCTCGCTGCTGAGCGCGCTGAACGAGGAGCGCCTGAAAGGGCAGCTCTGCGACGTCGTCCTCATAGTGGGAGATCAGAAGTTCCGGGCTCATAAGAACGTGCTGGCTGCCAGCAGCGAATACTTCCAGACCCTGTTCACCAACAAGGAGAACGAGTCTCAGTCTGTGTTTCAGCTGGACTTTTGTGAACCGGATGCTTTTGATAATGTGTTAAACTACATTTACTCCTCATCCTTGTTCATTGAGAAGGGCAGCCTTGCGGCTGTGCAGGAACTGGGCTACAGTCTTGGAATCTCCTTTCTCACAAACATTGTTTCTAAGAATCCTCAAGCTCCTTTTCCAGCTTGCCCCATCAAGAAAATATTGTATCAGGATGAAGACGAAGGTAGTTCTCAGAAGAGAAGTGTCATCGTCTGCCAGAACAGAAATGAAGCACAAGGGAAAAGTGCCAATTCAGCACAGCATGATTTAAGCCATACTTCTAAGCCTTCACCTTCAGTTGCTGTCAAAACTAACAGCAGACCACAAGTTACGAAACCAGCTGAATCACTTCACAACTTATCGCTGACCGAAAGAAGATGGCTGAAGGAAAGCCCTGTGAGCTACACCAAGCTTCACGAAACTTCTGGAGCCGCGGAGGATCAGAGCAGAGGTGGCTTACTGAAAAGAAACACAGCTTTGCCTCAAAAGCCTTCAGCAGAGAAGGAAGGTACAGGTGATGAACCAGGAGGCAGTGGTCAGCTTTTAAGAGGAAAAGGTGCAGAGATGTCCTTGAAAAGACCACGTCCCCCGGTGCTGTCTTTGCATGGCTCCTCAGAATCGACATTTTTGTTGCAAGAGTCAGGAAAAGGAAATGGTCAAGGAGAAGACAGGAACTTGCTGTACTACTCAAAACTGGGGCTAGTAATCCCGTCAAGTGGATCTGGTCCAGAAAACCAAAGTATTGACAGGAGTGGGCCACTTGTAAAAAGTCTMCTTCGAAGATCATTGTCCATGGACAGTCAGGTTCCTATTTATTCACCTTCTGTTGACCTAAAACCTTCACAGGTGTCATCCTCCTCCTCACCGGGGACTAATGATTCCCAAGGGAAGACATTTAATATTGTATCTCAAAAGGCATCCTTGAAAGAGTCATCGGAAAAGTTAGTCTTAGATGAGAAACCGCAGGTAATGCACCCCCATCGCCTTAGGTCCTTCAGTGCCTCTCAGTCAACTGATAGGGAGGCTGCTTCACCTCTCACAGAGGTGCGAATAAAAACTGAGCCTAGCAGTCCGCTCTCAGATCCCTCGGAGATTATAAGAGTCACCGTGGGAGATGCTTCAACCTCTTCAGACAAAGACTTTGCTTTTAAAACCGAGGATGATCCCAGGGAACCAATGAGACTTCCAGCTAAAAGGAGACTTCAAGCTGATAGGAGACTACCGTTTAAAAAGCTGAAGGAGAACGAGCAGGGTTCCCCAGGCTCAGAAGATAACTTTGAGGAAGGCTCAAGCCCTACGCACCTGGATGCTGATTTTCCCGACTCTGATGTCAGTAAAGATGAGTACAGCGAGCTGGAAGAAGCACGGCCAAACAAAAAATTCAAATGCAAGCACTGCCTTAAGATTTTTCGATCCACAGCAGGTCTGCATCGCCATGTTAACATGTATCATAACCCCGAAAAGCCCTACGCTTGTGATATCTGCCACAAGAGATTCCACACCAACTTCAAAGTGTGGACGCACTGCCAGACGCAGCACGGAATCGTGAAGAATCCCTCGCCCGCGTCCAGCTCCCATGCTGTTTTGGATGAAAAATTCCAAAGAAAACTCATYGATATAGTGAGAGAGAGAGAGATAAAGAAAGCCCTCATAGTTAAACTGCGGCGAGGCAAGCAGGGCTTTCAGGGGCCGTCCGCCTCACAAGCACAACAAGTCATCAAGAGGAATTTGCGCTCCAGAACCAAAGGAGCCTATATCTGCACCTACTGTGGGAAGACCTACCGTTTCCTCTCGCAGTTCAAGCAGCACATAAAAATGCATCCGGGGGAAAAGCCCATCGGAGGAAGCAAGGTTCCTAAGCAGAAAGATCACATTCATATTGAAAATCCGGTGGCAACCAAAGAGGTTTATCAGTGCCGCCTCTGTAACGCTAAGCTCTCTTCGCTTATTGAGCAGGGGAATCACGAGCGGCTCTGYAGAAATGCTACTGTGTGCCCTTACTGCAGCCTTAGGTTCTCCTCCCCAGAGCTGAAGCACGARCACGAAAGCAAGTGCGAGTACAAGAAGCTCACGTGCCTGGAGTGCATGCGCACCTTTAAGTCCTCCTTCAGTATTTGGCGCCATCAGGTTGAAGTTCACAATCAAAACACCATGGCTCCGCCGGAGAACTTCTCTTTACCCATACTGGATCACAACGGAGACGTAACTAGCTCATCAAGATTGCCTCCTCAGTCGGAAGCCCATAAAGTAAACAATTTTGCGGCGGTGAAGGAGGACGGCGTGTTCAGTGACTCGTCAGAACCAAATAATTTTGAYTCTGAAGATTCCTCGTGCCTGCCTGAAGACCTAAGCGTTTCCAAGCAGCTGAAAATTCAGATCAAAGAAGAGCCTGCCGATGAGGTGGAGGAGGAGGCCACCGAGGCCAGCAGAGAGCCTAAAGAAGTGGCCGTGAACAAAGACGCCAGTCTGTGGCCCTGCGAGAAGTGCGGCAAAGTATTTACCGTGCACAAGCAGCTGGAGCGCCACCAAGAGCTCCTGTGCTCCGTGAAGCCCTTCATTTGCCACGTGTGCAACAAGGCCTTCCGGACCAACTTCCGCCTCTGGAGCCACTTCCAGTCGCACATGTCCCAGGCCGCAGAGGAGAGCGCGAATAAGGAGGCCGAGATGTGTCCCCCAGCGGGGTCCCCGTCGCCTCCGCCGTTGCCGCCGCCGCTGCCCAAAATCCAGCCCTTGGAGCCCGACAGTCCCACGGGCTTGCCCGAAAGCGCCGCTACGACTGAGAAGCTGTTTGTGCCGCAGGAGTCGGACACGCTCTTCTACCACGCGCCGCCCCTCTCGGCCATCACCTTCAAGAGGCAGTACATGTGCAAGCTCTGTCACCGGACTTTCAAGACGGCCTTTAGTCTCTGGAGCCACGAGCAGACGCACAATTAAGCGGCTTTAACAGGTTGGGAAGGTGGCTCGGGGGCTGTGTTCCCCATCTCAGACGTGCGCCGGGTAAACCAGAAATCTTAAAGAGGATCGAAACAGCAACAGTGGAAAAAAATAGGAATTTGTGATGCTGCTTGGATTTGAAGATTAAAGTAAACTCGCTTTGTCAGTAGGTAGAAGCCTGAGTAATTTAAAATATGGTGGTCTGGGATCGAACGGTAACAGAACAACTGCAGTTTTGGTGACACTGAAACACGATCACATCTGGATTGTATGCATGGATCTTCATCCTGTGATGTTGCTGTGTGCGTGTGTGTATTATATATAAGACTATATTAAACGAAAGAGCAACGACAATTTGGATCCTAACTGTGAGTTTATAATAGTGAAATACTGTACCCAACTTTTCCTTGTTGTTGTTTTTAAAAGACCACACAAGCTCCATATAAATAGTTGCTGAGCACTTCCAAGTTAGGGRCAAAGTGGATGGAGTATCTTGCTGTATTGACTTAGGTCTTAGAAATCTTTAGCAATAACAAATAAACCTCAAGTTTGAGTAAGCCTGACGTTATTGGATATGAATGTTTGATATTTTAAGGGAACGTGGAATTTTTTGTTGTTATATGGAACTTGTGCAAGCTAAAATAGATTCTAAGGTCAGCAATATTATTACGAAGATTTTATATAAAAAGGAGCAGCAAGCCTGCTTTGAACCATTTAATTATAAGTTTCTAAGAAGAAATTGGGGGAGGGCGGGTACATTGCTTTATATAATGTCCCAAAGACTGATTTACTATAGATATTTCAGTAGCTACTGTCATTGTATAAACAACCATCATAATTCAAATGGTACTCTTTATAAATAGGAACTGAGATTGAATGGATGTCAGGCAAATTTCCTAATTCTTTTTTTCTGCTATTTGTACAAATGTTTGTAATTCTAACTACAAAGGAATGTATAACTATTAAGCTGAAAAACGAGAGCTTGTTAAGGGATAGAAGATTTAAGGTGTGTTTCCACACACAGTAGTGAAGCTTGGCCATGAGTACAAAGATAAGTTTTAACAAAGATTAAAAATGTAAATATTTATATAGATACCTGTGTAAATGAAGAAGTATGTATTTGGAATTTGTATTAAGCATACATATCCAGCTCAAAGCAGAGGAAAAAAACCACCACACTACAATCACTGCATTTTATGAATACAATGGAGAGAATATTTTTCTGCTGCTTTTTATCATTTGTGATCCTGTGTTGCAATTTTCTAATTTGTCGAAAGTCATGGCAAGAATGGACCGCAGAGATTTCACACGGCTCCATTCCTTTGCCTCAAACCACAACTGGAACATTTAGCAGGATTTCCCCCAAAGGAGGTGGTACATGAGCAGGGAAACACTCTCCCGTGGGGATTTCACCTCCGTGGAGCGGTGATGGAGAGGAGCGAGCAGCGGGAACGTAAGGGATGCACTCAGCAGCATTCCTGCCTGAGCGACGCTGACCCTTCCCGGCTGGAAGCTGCCCCGTGGTGCCGGGGAGCAGCAGGAGCCAGGGCAGCCTCCGTGGGTCTCATGGCGCCTTCCCTCTCCCCCACAAGTCCCCGGGAAGCAAAAGGAAGGGCAAACGCGTACAGAGACGCGGCAAAATTAAACATAACCCCTAAAAGAGTCCCCAGAGGGCAGCCTTAGCTAGCGCTGCGCCAGGGTAGCTCTTCTCAAAGCCCAACCGTTGTCCTTCTGAACAAACATTTTTATTGCTTTCCCTGGAAGTTACCTTTCAGAGGAATGGCTCCGAATGCACCCGACTTTTTTCCAGCTACCAGAAAATTGCAATGTTAGTTTCAAGCCTTTTCCGTTTCATTGTTGATAGAAATCTGAAACTGTTACTAAAAGCTTTCTAATGATGTGTTTTGTCCTATTCCAGGCAAATTGTATCTGAACATAATTATGCTAATCGTTAGGATAACTGTTAAGCTCTGTAAGTAAAGCTGCAGTTAAAGCAAGATTCCTGTGTAGCTGTTTAAAAGTGGCATTTCTAGATGTTGGCTCTTYTATTCCACTTCACAAGACTGTATTTCCTACAGGCAAGAAATAATTTCAACAAAAAAAATGATCGTTGCACTCAACCTGCTTTAATAAAATCAGAAAGACATAAGCCATGCTAAATATCCTTTAAACATACTGAAGAAGAGAAARCTGGGCATACATAATGTGAAAACATGTGGGTTTTATAAAATGCTGTGTAAGTTTTCATCAGTGATTCCTATACAAGGTAGGAATTTACAAGTTTAGGCTTTAAAAAATCAGTACGCCTTCTAAAGGAAAATAACAGCTAGTTCAGTTATCGTATGACCATCCAACTTCTGATTGGAATTCATATTCACTGTATAGTATAACGATACCATACATTTAAAATCCAAAGTCTGTGCAAAATGTTTGAGGAAACCTTGACCTTTTTCTGAGTGTAAGATGTATTATTTAAAAAACAACAACAACAACAAAATCCATAACATGTTTTGGGTCTAAATGGCTTCCTTCAAAGATTTTATTTAGATTTGCTTGCATTGTTTTCAACTTTGAGCATGTTCTGTGTTTTTTAAATTCAGTTCCTCTTGTTCAGAAAMGGAATTCAGGATCTCTAAAGTTTAAATATGAGATGTTTATATAGCAGTTCTGGTTTTCTATTAGCTTTTATACAGTACCTTTAAAAGCCCTTGATAGAAGTGCTTATTTTGGAGGATACGGAATAAATATGCTTCCACTTATATAACTTTAATATATGCTTAAAAAGTTAAATTATGGGGGAAAATGTTAGTTATTTGTTTATAAATAAAGGTCTTTTAAAGAATGTCTAGTTTGGCCACAGGCAGAATAATAGGCAAATCTATAGATACAAAAACCCATCTTCGTAATATTTTGTTTAGTTTTGCAGCTTTGTACTAAAGTGACACAACGTTAGAGATCGTAAATATAAAAGGTTGCTTTTATTTCTTAAAATGAGTGACCTTAATGTGCAGATGATTTAATATATAGATTAGAATCTTTTATTCTTTCGTTTTTGATTAGTTTTATAATCTGTCATTCAAATCTGAGAACAATCCTGCCTCCTTGTCAGTACAGTGAAAACTTCCATCGCATTTAAGAGCAGCAGGATTGAGCCTGGAATTCATTTTTTTTATTATTTTTTGGATTTGTTTCTTCACCCTACACCCCTTYAGGCAGTGCGTTGGCAAAGGGTATACAGCTATGTTTAAGTCCATTGAGATCAGTCTTAATAGTTAATGCTTTTTTTCTACATTTCTACATCTCTACATTTCTTTTTTTCCTGAATTGGGACCATGASCAACCATTGAAAGTGAGCAATAGCAGGAAAATACATAGGGTTTTTTTTTTATTTGCTTTGTTTTTAAGTTGTATAACCAAAAGTTAAAATGAATCTTCCTCTATATGAAAACCGCATGTAGAGCTAGCGCGGAATTCTGCAGTTTTGCAAAAAGAAAGGACAGGAACCAGTGGAAATACTGTCTGAACTTCTTGGAATTATTATTATTATTATTATTTTTGGCAAGAGGAGGCTGAAGCCCCCGGGCGGGTGCCGGGCTGGCGCAGCGGGCGACGCGCGCGTTTCTGGGGTGGATTTGGGAGCAGAGATGCAGCCGCATCCCGCGCCCCCCGCCGCGGGTGCAGGGRCCTTCCCGGCAGCCCATGGAGGGAGCTTCCTGCCGGGCTTTTCCCTGCCACCCCGAAGCAGGGCAGGCAGGTCCCGCCTGGAGCTCTGGGCGCTCTTCTTATGCCACGCTCCCCACGGTAAAAGTGGAAGCTCCTCACCTGGGATAAGGACAGAGGCTGCCAAACTGCTCGGCAGCCGCAGTGCAAATATCTGGCATGAGCCTCCAGTGCGGCACGTGCCTGTACTGTTCAATGAAATTGTTTACATTTTCCTACCAGAAGATTCAGATGAAAATCAAAGCAAGCTTAGATTTTTTTTTATGTTGCTGTTAATGAATCAGTGTTAAAATCCTTTTCCTTTGTTTTTTTCCGAATACAGCCTGATAGTATTTTTTAATGTCATTGATTCTTGTTTATTTAAAATGACTTGTGCAAATCTGTACTATAACTGTTGTGCATAAAGGGACACTATCAAGAGAAAAATTATATACTGTAAATGTACTTATCTGTATAACAATACTTGATACTAGTAAAAATCAAAGATCTTAAAAGAAGGAATTGACTCAAAACACTTGAGCAKGCTGGGCATAAAAATGCCTTGTCAGGGGCATTCTCAATTGCTGCAAAGATTTCTGAAAAGATTGTGTGAATTCTATGGGTTGAGTTTATTTGTCATGTTGGTTTTTCCTTTAACTATTTTGAAATAAAGCACTTAATCCACTTCTCTTTTTTGTTCAATTTCTCAGCRATACGTTATGTTTGGAAGACACAAACATTATTCCTAGCTTCCCACTTTTGCAGCAGAATGTTTAGGCAAAATATACGTGTAAAAACAAATGAACAAAAAAACACATACCAACTATAACTTTTAAGGCTTATTCTTGACAGTGTCCCTTTTTTAAAAAAAGCAGGGAAATGGGATCATCTACAGTGCTCGGGTACAGGGAAATGCTTTCCTAAAGGTTTTAGAAGCTGGAATTGTCCAGTATATTTGCTGTAGAAATTTCCAATTGCTGATACAAAATCACTTGTCATTTTAAAGAGTTCTAGAACTAAGGCAAAAGAAGCTGGTTTTATAATCCTGTATACCTTGTAGTCATTGTAAATCGGTTCAATACACCAGTGCTGAATTTTAATTACGAATAGGTTTTTACTTCTTTTTTTTTTTTTTTTTTTTTTAGGACTGAGAATTAATAGCTTAGGATAACTTTTTCTTTCATGTAATGTAAATCCATTGCTGCTTTGTACAACTTTTTCTACTGTGTGTTTTCTTTACTTAGATCTTGACTAAGAAATGTTGGCGTCCAATAAACTTACACTTTGTTTCTTTTGAGTCACTGTGTCTTGTGTTGGAATCTCTTGGCAGAGCGCGATGTTATTGTGCAGAGCTGTTGCATCTGCGGGCTGGGAATTTTGTTTACAAAAGAGCATCTTCTGATCTGCTTGTTCTATGTAAATGGTGCTTCCCACATTGCTAAGATACTGGTTGTTGTTTATTGCAGTGAGTGCCCCACCAAGCCTTTTATTGGAGGGGAAAAAGACATGTAGAAAAATTCTTCAAAAGCCTTGAGCACTGACCAGATTCTGCTTCCTCTGCAGTCAGTGTTTAAAAGGAGACTCTGGAAGCAGATTACAGCAGCTGGCTGTCAAGCTACGTGTCTGAAATACGCTGCTAGGCTTTSTGTGATTTGTGCAGTGCTCCCATGAAAAGCAGTTTTTCCACATGTATCTCCCTCTGCTCCATCCCCTCTCGAGGAAGGCAGAGTGTGCTCCTAGGACACACAAACCGATCTCTGTATCTTCTGGGAACAGGGTTTACCAGCTTCCTATCTCAAAGCAGACTCCTACCTACCTTGGAAACCTTGGGAGTGTTTCCTCAGCTTCTTGGATTAATGTCTGCTGGCCTTGGCCACTTTTCTTTGGAGCAGTATTCCCTGAGCCTGCTGACCGATCTCACTCACAGCAGCATCTTTGTAAAGGTTATTGACTGCGGAGCAAAGCAGGGCCTAGGGAGGAGGAGAAGACATGTGCTGAGAACTTATTTTAATGATTATCCGTTCCTATAATGTGGYGCTGGCCACTACACGTGTGCTGAGCTAAGGGGGCAGCGAGTGGGGTGAAACGCAGCRGGAGGGCTGCAGTACCCGACCTGCCTCCTGCTCTGAACCCAGAGCTGAGGGTGCTCCGAGGGCTGTCCACAGCACGGGGCAGCTCTTAAAGCCTTCGTGCTCTTAAAGCCCTTGGAAAAGGGGGACAAGGATTCCTAGAGCGGCTCTCCTTGGGGTGTCCCTGCATGTCAGCAGGGAAGTGAGCTGTGCAAAAGCTGGAGGGAGATCCCTGGGCATTCACAGAGTGGAAAACTGCCACAGGATTGGCCTCCTCTTCTGCCTTCACCATGGAAAAACCTCCCGTTTCATTTTGCATCCAGTTGAGATCTGCATGCCCTGATGCCGTTACAGAGCAGCATCTGCTTCCATACACAAAATATCTGCCCTAGAGATCGCACAGTCTATGCTGACATAGAACTTAAAAAGCAAACCAAAGCGATAAAAAGTTGAGAGGCATTCCTGTCCTAAGTGTTGTRCCTAATTCCATGGCCATACTTTGCTTTATTTTCAGCCTCCCACTTCCAAGGCAATTGCTCCATAGACTGATCCAGCAACTTTCATTTACTTTTCCATACATAGGTTGTTTCCAGTTAYCACTGTTTTAATCAGCAAACATTAATAAGGTAACTTTCACCATTAGATGCACGGGTAATTTTTCTATTTCCATTACTGAAATACTCTGGCTATGGAAAATTTCAAGTTGTTATCTGCAACGAATTAACATATAGTCTTATTTCCCTTCTTTCTTACACAAAAAGGGAAAACTGAAAAAGATTCYCTTTCTGTCACCTCCACAGCTTTGATCCATCCCTGGATGATTTCCAGATTCTTGGTGGTCCAGAATGTAGGATGGTTTCAGGTCTCGGATGCCGTAGGRCCATGGCGGCCATCATTCGGTTAGGCCGCCATTTGGGGGCAGAGCCTCTCGCCCAGCGACCCTCGTCTCCGCAGGGAGGTGCGGGCGTGTTGGGGAGCTGTGTTGGGGAGTGCGGCGCCAACATGGAGCCCTCTGCGGCCGGGAGGAGGAGATGGCGCCGGGCGCCGCAGGCGGCTCCGCAGGCAGCTCTGCAGGGGAGCAACGGGCAACGGCGGCGAAGGGGTAGGAGACACGAGAACGGCAACAGCGGGAGGGCGCCAGGCGGAGAAGGGAGCTCACTGTGGGACCCCCACAACAAGGGAAAAATCGACCTCTGCTTTAATGTTTCACTTGTGGTGACTACAGGTCTTCAGTATCTTTCTTTGGCCTTTCTTCCCTCGCAAAGCGCTAGGAGTCTCTGGGAGTCTTGACACCTTTTAACCTTTTGTGGCAGACATCCAAGCTATGAAGTCTAGGAAAAAAGTTCAAGGGATGAAAGACTTCCCAAAGGATAGTTCAAGATATTTCCCCTACCATATTAGAGTTAGGTCCTTTTGTAAGCCAGCTTTGAAACCCCATATCCTGAATCTTTCACTGGGTGTAGCAGCTGCTCAGTTATAGTAGCAGTTTCTCTGTCCTACTGCATACACCTGTGGATCCTAAAAAGTTCCTGCTGGCACCTGAGAAGGATCTATAGGGCTGTAAATCTGTCAGCCAGCATCCCACTTGCCCCTTTCTCATCCGGGCAGCGCTTGGCTTCGTGCAGGTGCCCTGCTCTGCAGGGCAGCCCGTGTGGAGCCCAGTCTGGCAGAACAGACATGGCTTTTCTGTTAGGCTGCGCTTAACAAGGCACCTGCTGTTTGCTGCTCCCTCCTCTTCCCCTCCTTGCTCATCAACCAGCTCAACACCCAGCTGCAACGTACATATATATGTGTCCTATATGAGTCCTATATATATATATGAAAAAAAAAACCTTGAGTTTTATGAAGATAACCCTATAATCTACATTGGCCATCTAATGCTGTGTACAGACACTAGGAAGGGCCAGAATCACACATGCAGCAGAATAGCACAGCATGAAGGCACCAAACAGAAGGTGAATTTCCTTCTAAAAATGTATTTTTATTATTTATACATATTTTTATTATTTATATTTTTAAAAAGTCTCTGCTATGTGGCAGATGCTGGGTTTGGAGATAATTCCCTATTAGATTAAAAGGATGTTATAATACATGCTTTGTCTGAAAACTGTCAAGKGCTTCTCCAGTGCTTCCTTTGTTAACGACCCTGAGCCACCAACTTGTTTTCTTCTCTCCTGGAGAGAGGGATTCATCTCCCGATCCTTGTGGTCATTGGCTTCCTGTTGGAAATGCCAAGGAAGATGCCAGTTCATCTGAATGTTTTCAGCAGTCAGTCAGTCATATATATAAAAAAAAAAAAAAAAAAAGTGATTAGTTGTAGCTTAACAACTATTGTCATAACTCATAGTTTACACATGTGAACACAGCATGGGCTCTTGCTGGAGGAATTAAGAGTCCTTTCCCTTTGCCTGTGTCCTAACACATGGCATTCTCCTTATCTCCTTCCTGTTAAAAGCYGTAACCATGTGGTTGCAACGTCAGCTCTGAGCCCAACCTAGCCCCAAAGCAAGGAATTTTGTCTAGCTGGTATCCGCTGCCTCACAGTGAGGGTGCCCATTCTGGAGGAGGCAGATCCCAGGATTGCCGGGCTCCAAGGTGGAGCGCAGCCATCCCTCCCTCCCAGCACCACCACCTGGGCCGAGGCCTCCCGGCCTCTTGCTCTGCTGGCGCTCTCTGGTGGACAGAAAATAACTGGCTCCAGGCAGCGAAAATGCACCAGAAAATAAAAGAGGAGCCTGACTGGCGTGACTGCCCCTCTGAAAGCTCACAGGGCTTTCCTGAAGTCTACTAAAAACACTTTTGAAGTCATCATAATAGAAAAAAACAATACACTCAAAAGTATTTTTTCCTATTGCTCTACCAGGTAGAGTAAAAGCAATGATGAGCAATTCCAGATAAAATGGCTTTCACTTGACATTTGGCTTTCACTTGTTTAAGTTTCTTAAGAAACTTAAGTTTACGTTTCACTTGTTTCACTTGTTAAAATGGCTTTCACTTGTTCATGTGATCCTAAAGAGAAAAACAGTTATAATTTGATAAAATAATCAGGGATTCCTGAAGGGAACGAGTGAAATAGTGATRAGCTTGGATGAGCACAAAGACCACGGTGGTACTTACTAATTGTCCATGAGAAGCAAAACTGAAGGTCTGATGATGTCATCCTCTCAGAGCCTTTTTAACAGATCGAGATTCCGTTACCCAAGAGAAGAGGGCGTCCTCTGGAAGAGGTGAGGGAGGGAAATTATTCTGGACTAGTGCCCGCGTGTTATCAAAGCTCGTGTTCCGTGTTCCAGCAGGGCAGCTCCGGGGACCCCGGCTGCCCCTCATGCCATCAGTGTCCCCGCAGCGGACAGCATCTCTGCTACAGTGAGTCCCCTGAGGCAGGAGGGTCACGGGTGAAGCAGCAGCAACAGAAAGGGGCTACAGAAACAGCCCCAAGCTGTGGGGTGTGAGGAAGGGCAGGACCAAAGGCAGCAGCTCTTGTCCCAGCTCCAAGTGCTGCCTCCTGCTGCTCTGCGTGCCCTGGACTGACTCACCAAGCACCCAAGCCAGCAGGTACAAGGACCTGCCTGTCACCCACCCCAGGACCTGCCTGTCACCCACCACGGCAGAGAGGGAGAGGCTGAAGAGCCGCGTGTGGGTGGAAACGTCCCCTGTGCAGGATGTAACTCACCAAGGGCCACGTTTCTCGTGTGGAGACTGCCAGGCTGCTCCTGCTGGCAGAGCTGTCCCTGTGAGAAGTGTGAAGCGCTGACACCTCTGGCTGACTTCTAGGCAAAATCTCTTAATTAAGACATAGTGATATAACCACTTCATGGGTAAAGACAACCTCACCCAGAGACATGGGATGCTGGAATAACCTGGGCTGGTTAAAGCACAGTTTGGCAAAATAAGCACCTCTTGCACATCTGTACTGTCCTGATAGGGTACTCCTTTCAGGCTTCCCATTAGACTGCACCGATGGCCTCTTTTGACCTTCTCTTTCTTTAACGTGGGAAACGAAATACTTTAAGGCTCARAGATAAAGAACTAGTGGCAAAGGTTTGGTCTGATTTTATCTCTGCACATTGTAAATGTGTAAATGATCATTTCAKTGCCATGATTGAACCTATGGCTTTCTTTTTGCTCTACATACAGCTTTAACATTAAAAATGATAAATAATAAATATTTAAATAAATATGTATAATAGAAGATTAAATGAGTCCATCCTGTCCCTTTATATGAGTTCTCTGGGACTTGGGGTCACTTTCTGGCTCCCAAGCCTGAGTGCATACCCTGCTGTGTCCCRCCTCAAGCCAGGACGGAATCCAAGCATATCACATTCCCATCATTCCCATCATCCCTGTGCTGTGCGTGTGCCAAATCCAAGCTGTGGTTCCAAATGCTTGCAAAAAAAA